GAAGAAAGAACGAAGAAAAAGGGCTAAAAGGAAAATTCTAGAAGTTTTTATAACTGGGCAGTAGCCCAGGGATATAGGCCGGGCGGCCGCCCCGGCTCTTGACTTCAATTACAAGAACTATTTTATATGTATGGACAGTCGCCTCATTTTCTACTGGATGCTCGCCCAAACCAATTCGGCCCGAAAATTTTATTTCCTTTAGAATTCAATTCCATCAAGGAAACTTCCGTTTGACCTCTGATATACATGATTTTTAGAGATCTTTTGGAACTCTCTAGAAGGAATATGAATACCAACTCTCAAAACATAATTAGGAAAATGATGGCAATGGGGCGGATTTGGATCGGAAAGGTTCCTCTGCCCACGATACCGCCAGACAATTCCCCCCTTCCCCTCCAGTTACCTATTTAAGGCAGGGCGGGGTTTGCCCTGTTTACATACCTTTTTTTTGGCAATTCATTTTATTGCCCACATTTATTAAAGTGAGAAAATAATATATTTATTAAATTTTTTAATTCATTAATTTATTTTAAAAAGTTAAATTATTCGAATATATTTCGTAAACTAAGATTTTTATTATTTATCATATTCTTAAATAATTTTAGTAATCTTCTAATAGAATTAATGAAATTTTGTGGAGTTTTTCATTTAAAATATTAAAATCTTAAAAAAAAAAATTAAACAGGGCAGGGCAGATGTTACTTGTACCCGCCTCGGGGCGAAATTCCCTGACCCGAATACTTGATTAAGTAGTTAATCTCCGTCCCGTTCAGGATGGGGCCCAGTGAGTATTAAATTCAACGGATTTTTTTGTCATCCCCAAATTGGGTTAGGAGAATCAATTACAAAAGAAAGCAAAGAACACATCAAGATTGAATTCAAGATTTTTTGGGTAATGAACAACTTTTATATCTTTGGTTTTCTTATTCATAACATGTTAGGCTAGATTTCTTTGTGTTACGAGAACGATAAACCATGTGATATAAATTTTTAATCATTAGTTTTACATATTTGACATCAAAAATACGTTTTTGGATATTGAATTATTTATATGATTTTATTTTTTCCACAATTATTGTACACGGTGGTTGTGTGAATGTGATGTCTTATTTTATGCATTCGAAAAAAAGGGAAATAGGCTCGACATAATATAAATTGTGATAAGATCCAATTGGAAATATGGATATACCGCTATGCCTTATGAGAATCTTTTTAAGTGTTAATAAAAATTCATACATTCTTATATGTTCGTATATATGAGAATATGTTTAATGTTACCAGTGAGAGATTGTTGAATAGAATAAGCACATTGATTCGTTAAAACTCAATAGTGTTGTCAAAGGTAAAACTAAGTTTAAAATTTATTATTACGTAGAAGTACGTTTGTCATTCATTATAATCCATCAACTTTCACTTAGCATAATTTGCATTTAGTTTAGTTAATTCACTCATAAATTTTAGTTATAATTTCATCACAACAAACATAACTTATTATTCTTGTTTCAATTTAGGTCGCAATAATTAAAATCGAACTAAATTAACTTTTATGAAACGATACTTGAACTCACATCCACTTTGTTATTTCTTAACGAACCGTACACTTGGAGTTGGGTTTAAATCAAAAAATATTTTCGTGTAACAAGTTTTTGATTAGTTCCAATTTCTTCAGTAAATAAAAAAAAA